AGTTTTCCCAGCACCATTTGTTGAAGATGCTATCCTTCCTCCATTGCATGCTTTTAGCTCCTTTATCAAATATAAGATAGTTGTAGTTTTGTGGATTGGTTTCTGTGTCCTCTATTCTGTACCATTGTTTCACCCGCCTGTTTTGGTACCAATACCATGCTGTTTTTGTTACTATTGCTTTGTAGTATAGTTTGAAGTCTGGTATCGCTATACCACCTGATTCACACTTCCTGCTTAGCATTGTTTTAAAGCATCCCAGTTTTAGCTTACGTTCCCCAAGGTGTGCTGAAGTCTACCTGCATTTCACGTTCACTTTCCCTGTGCCTTGAAACTCTTTTACAACCCCCCCACCCGTCTTCCAACTCTTCAGTCATGCTAGAATCTCCCAATAAAATCTGATCTCTCTTCAGAACACAAGTTGTATCTTGCTTTCTTCAGTAATTTTTCATCCTAGCAATTATATGACTATTATTATTTTGTGAGATTCTTGATAGCAAGGATTTATTTGGCACATCAGAAAAATACATCTCTTTTTTAAAAAAAGAATCAAAATTTTTATGCATCAGAAAATATTTATCTATTTTAATAGAATCAAAAATATATATGGTTATTGTTGAATTTACATGGTGCCTTTGGCAATATAAATTATTGTGAATTGACCCCATAGATATAAAACATAGATGAGGGATCAAAAAGAAATGTTTGCAAAAAGAAAAGAGTCAAAGGACAGCCTTTAAATGAGTTGGACAAAAAAAATATTTGGCATACTTAATCTCATCACTAGAGTTAACTATAAAATAGGATTATGAAATAAATAACTGACATTTATAAAGTTCTCCCTCATTGGACATTTTCTCATTCTTTCTCAAGAAGCCAGTAGCCAACTTATAAGACACCCATATTCAGGATGAGGCCAGTAGATACCAAGTTGATGCTTCTCTGAGACTACACAGAACAGTCTATTAATATATTCTAGTGAATTGATGTTAACAGTAAATACCATTAAAGATTGAAAACATTGTAAATGATAACTAATAAATCTTTAGTAAAGGTGATATAAAAATGTCAAGTACAATGTTCCAAAATAAGAAAAAAAAATTGAAAGATTAAAAATATCATGGAAAATTCAAAATTTCCAAAATATCTAAACATTTTACTTTGTCTTTCTGTGATCATAAGTAGAAAATTGCTATAAAAACAATTTATATTTTCTCCTACTAAGCTCGTCTTGTTACTTGAAAATAATTATCAGTCATTGAAAATAAAAACTGATCAGCTACACATAATCAAGACTTGTATTTGGCAAAGTTGGTGATCTGCACCATTTTATTGTTGGTTTTGCTAGTGCTTTTGCAAGACATGGTATAAAGCACATGACCTATGCTGTTTCAAGGATCCCTAATTCAAGAATGATCTCTCTGGTGCAGCCTGTCATCTTTATAACCTTCACTCAACAATCTGAAATAACAGTTCATTCCTTCTGAATGAGACTGCAATCAGAACTGAGATATTACCATATTACAGAGTCAGAGCTACCAGCAGGTGAACTCTTGTCTCATCAAATCCTCAATAAATTATAAATGGTCCTGGAAATATTGTGTTAAATAAGAAAAGATAATGACTCTAAAAACATAAAACAGAGCTGTAAA